ATGATCAGGCCATAGGATATGATTTTGTTTTATGAATGAAAGTAATTTAAAGAATAAGTTATCAAGCATAACTAAAAGGAATTTAAAGTTTAAAATTTGTTTTCTGAAAGACATTTCCTTTTATTTCATTAATGTTTTCTATAGTCTTGATTATCACATCGATAACCTTCAACACTATAGTTTTGGGTACAGAAAAACGAAGAATATGAAGTGGAATTATTTCAAGATATTGAGGAATAAGACAAGAAAGGCTTTTTTTTCAGTATCTGTTAATCTAGTCACAATAAGAAAATCATAGGATGACACTGAATCATATCAGGGCATGTCATACTTAAAATCTCGTAAATTTAAAAGACTTTTATATTGTCACAGCAAATCACCTGGTTACATATTTTTTATTATATGAGAGAAAGATAGGCCTGTGGTTAGAGGATTAACCTGGGAAATCTGCAGTCAAGTTTTCTTTCAGCCATGAATTATTTGCACGGTTCAGGACAATGCCATGGGCAGGGGTGTCAGTTGCCATGGAGAGGCTGATCTTACCTCACTGGGTTGCAGTGATCCTTTGTGCTCCTCTCTTGTAGACTTCCTACTTCAATTCCCCATAGAACTAGGATAAAACTCCTGTATCTCTGAGTGTCAGTGTCACAATCCAGGGAAACATTCAGTCTGTGGCTCATCTAGGAATTAATACCAGAGTGTTCCTGTGCCTGCTGATTACTGGGATGAGTGTCACTGTAGTGGTTACTCTGTGTGGCCAAGCCATGTGTCTGGCTGAAGTCCCAGCTCCAGTCAGTCTACAGATGTTTAACTATCTCTGAATGCTCTGGGGGATGTGACACAGACGAGAGTCAAGGGCTCGCTGACAACCCCTCCTCTGTCATTGGGAAAATTTCCTGCAGTTCCTGGCACGTGAAGCTAAAACCCTTGTGAAGTGTTCAGACACTGACTGCACTGAGAGCAAGGTAGAAGGACAGACAGACTGAAAAGTCAGGACTCTATTAATGTTTTCATTTCAAGAGCAGCCATGTCCTTTCTTCCTTTCAACACATAAGGTCATAAAGGCATGATCATGCAATCAGCAGTGATTGAATAACCATGAGTTACTGTCTGACACTGGAACCTTTCCAATTAATCAAAAGCATCAACTGTGAAATGAAAATACATTTCATAGCCTAACCTTAAACTCCCTTGCAGTTTACTTGGCAACTGGGGCATGTTAAGAGCATTATTAGTAACTGCAACCTGTTTTACAGGTTTCAGCCTTTTCCTTAACATCAACTCAATACCCATTCCTGAAGAGAAAACAGCAATTTATTGTAGCAAAAAGCCTTTAGTGCAAGTTCTCTTTCTTTGCTTGACATTAGATCCTGCTAACTATAAAACAGCCTAACTATAAAACTTGTGTAAAGTAAATGTTTTCTTTAACTGTAAAAAGGAGTTACAAAATTTTCAATAATCTATTTTGCCGTCTTTACTCTGTATATGTACTACCCATTAAAATATATGTTTAAAGAGAAGTTCATCCCATCTTCCCCGTTCACATTTCTGTAACTACTTGAATGCCTTTCAAACATGGCATTTTTCTATGTCTCTTGTTAAGATTGCATTATTTGCTTTGGACACCTAAAGAAAAATTTTGCCTTGGGGTTTACATGCCTAAAGTAAAGAAGACTGAGAAATTTTCAGATAGCATAGAAAAGAGTAGTTTCATAAAATGTTTTTTTCTAATACAGTAACATTGTTTAGATGATATAAACACCAGCTATGAAATGAATGAACGGGTTCCAATTTCTGTGAGACTTAGAGTGAGCTGCTTGAGCTCACAAGCCAGATCTCTTGCTCTCATCACCATGTCCTGCTACCTTTATTTTCTTATTTGGTTAACAGGTTTCTTATTTGAGATATTCCTAGTGAAAGGAATTGGAATTTCTGGTGTGAGTGTGATTCTACTAACAATAATACTTTTCAACCTAAACTCTGATAACAAGTAAAAGTTAATGGTAAAGTCATGAAGTCATGTTCTTAAAAACTGACTGATAGTGTTTGGATAAGTTATTTTTAAGGAATACATTGCTCTTCTGCCTGTTTAACTAAAGAGGTCTTTTATAGAATCAATAGTGGGAAAGACTTTAGATCAGTCCTATCCCTTGATACCTTTTTCCAATTAAGGCAGTGGATAATTTTACTGTTTTACTAAAAATATTATTTAATGACTATTCAGCATTTTCATTCTCATGAGATACTGCACAAACATTAATTAAACCCCACCAAAACCACAAACCTGGCTCGGAAATTCTAAACCCATTTTACAAACAAGGACCTGGAGCCAGAGGTCTTTCAGTACCAGACAGATCACAACTTGAAGCTCCTAGACAATGAGAGTCTAGAAAAATGAATGGCCCTGCAGCTAGAGCTACCTCAAAGAAAATAATCTTGACTCTGTCTTGACTTAAGGCAATTTATTTTACTTCTCAAGGAAAGCTCTTTCTGGGTTTTCTTCAGGGATGAAGGTCTCTAGCAGTCTGTCAGATTGAGGCTGTTCATACAAAATTATGACATAGTCATTGAGTTATGTAAATTCAGAAAAAAAGTGAGCCCATTTCCATAGTCCAAGAATTACAGTATCCACCCAGAATCATATTTCTCTCTAATGAATAATTAACTTCATGCATGTGCAACAGTAAGAAAAAGTGAAGACTGAGAAAGATCTGTTTGCAGTTTTTTCACTTATGTTATATATGGTTCATTGATTTGAACACAAATTTTCAAGTGACAGAACACAACACTGGGGCAAAGACAGAAAGACAGATATGTCCTACCCATTAGTAGAGGGGTAGCACATTAGTATAGCTGTAACTGCAAAGCTTGTCTACACAGAATTTAACTAATTATTCCACAACTTTTCTAAAAGTCTTACCAATTTCAGTGATTCTCTCTAGGGGAGAAGGGGATAGGTTTTTACATTATGTTTTTACATTTTCATATGTTCTTACATTACTGATGTTATCCAGTTCACTTTGACCACCTCCAGTTTGGTGACTAGGTCCTGTCAGGAAGACAGGATTTTCTTCCAAAAATATTAAAGCCATCCACCTCTTCCTAGGTACTATCTAGCAATCTTTGGTACTTACTTTCAGAGGACTGAAATAAGGACAAAATTTAGGAGCAAGGACAGATTTTTTCTTGCTTTTGGCATATTTTTTTCAGTCACTTGGCCATAAATAGTTGAAATGTTGGAAAGCAGCCTAATTTCTTTGTAGTCTAGTCGTTATTTGTTGTTCTTTTTGCTGTTTTACTTTCTTGTTTCACATTTCTGACTAATCCCCTATCTTCTTCCTAGCCAGGGTTCTGGATGATTGGTCAGTTAGAACATGTCTTTGTGTTAATCTTTGACTACCGATTTCATAAGAGAGTCCTTGCTCCTATAGACACCTGGCATTTAAAATTATTGACTTGTATATCATTTGCTCCAGCTCCAGAAAACCTGCAGTTCTTTCTTAAACAAATGGGAAGGAGAACAATTTTGACGTTCTTCTAAAGCATTACTTATCTTATTCTTAAATTTCTGAAGTAGGCCAAACCTGCTACGTCCTAGAAAAGTCTATCACTCTTCATTGACTCTAAAAGTCCCGAGATGTACAGTTTAGCCATCTACATCTGAAATACTTTCCAACTCTCAGATGAGATGAATTCTAACCCAGGCCATCTGAACTCCTTCCTGTGTGCTGTGAAATGGGACAGAAGGGTGAAAAACCTCCAAATGTGCAAGAAGGCTGAGAGACTTGTCCATTTCATGACTCCTCCATAGGATCCACTTGATTCCTAGGAAGCTTCATGTTAAATGATACACCACGTTTTTACACCACTTTGATTAAGGCAGAAACTGACTGAGGCTTCTTCAGTCTCTTCCATAACACATTCTTCTGTCTAATCTTCAGAATGTATCCTGTAGCTTTTTTTCACTTGTTTTGGAATGTTAAGTGAATAAACAAGTCCAGTACAGAAATTTTTATATTGAACATTTATGACACCCCCTGATTTGAGTGCAACTGAGTGGCAACACTACTTGAATCTCTTCTAAGAGATTGGCTAAACATAAGGACACAACCTGTTTGAATTCATGCTCCTTGTTCTAACTGCTTGGGTAGTTTTCCTTAACATAGCAACTATAATTTATCTTCTTAGCAGTGGGTAATAATACAGTCAGGGCAAAAGTTTATAATACTCTTGTCAACTACAACAATATCCTAATAAAAATAGACTGTTGCAATATATTAACATGAGCATATGCACAAAAAGAAAAATTACTTTATGCTGACTTCTGAAATGTAAGTAAGCTCATGTTGAATAAATGGAGCTTTAAGTAGCAAACACATAGAAACCACTTCCCATATTGCTTTTCTAAAAATAACCACATGAAGTAATTGCATATAAGTCAAAATTTTGACAGATTTCACATAAACCAGTGACAATCTGGGCATGAAATTCCAGGAACAGAAACTCAATTTTTCACAATCTAAATGTATAAAACTGAAGCCAGAGGGACATTTTAGTACTAGCTTTGTAAAACAGAAGTATCAAGATTTCACTCATGGGCTTTAAGAGTTTCTGATTTCTTCTTGCTTCTGTTATTTTTTTAAATTGAAAAGGTAACACTGAAAATTCGGTCTGCATTTAGGATGTTCTCTAAAGAGTAAGACAAAGAGAAAAAGACAAAAGATGTAAGGTTGGCAATTTCCTTGAATACCTTCTGAATTCTCAGTTGCCTGAGTGTTAACTCAAATCTGATGATTTTCGTCTGCATTCTCTAACCTTACACAGCAGGGGAGAAATGCCCAGAAGGGTTTGACTGAGAGTTTTGTGGCCACTGTCAGTGGCAGTGGTGGGCTCGTGGCGGGGCGAGGCCGCAGCCCAGAGCGGGCTCGGGAGCCCCAGCCCGGCTGCGCCCAGCCTTGGGGTGCACAGGGGTACCGGGGGTCTGAGAGATGTGTCTGTACCTAGCTCCTCCTCTGGCGTCCCTGGAAAACTGAAGCTCGACTTGAGCAGATCGCCACCCTCTTCTTCTGAAAAGACAGAAACAAAGTAGCTATTAAATAACTCTGATATTTTTCTACATCCAGACATAACTCTCCACTAGTCTTTAAATCCATTCAGTGACACCTCTTACCATTCAGTACCTCTGTTAATGTTAAGCTGCTGTGTTGCTATTATCTGCAGTATCTATCCCTTTGTCAGTTTTTTGAGTTTTCTTCTATTATTAATATTATCAATTATTATTTTAATAAATATTTTATAAATTATTTTTTATACATTTTATTTTTTCTAGACATTTTCAAATCATTAATATCACGTTATATTAATAAATGCCTCTTTTGTAACATCTTTTACATTGTTCTTTCAAATTTTTCTTAGTTGTGTTGAATTGTATTGACTTTTAGCCTTCATGTAATTATTCCAGAAGAATCCTTATTGTTGGTACTCCAGTTGCACCTCTAGCATTTGCCACACATGATTCTTAGGACACTTTTATTTCCTTTTGTACACAAACTTTTAGTTCTGCCATTATGAACTATGATAATGTTGTGATGACTTTTTTCCTATCACTACCATTTTTTTTTTCCCAGAGATAACTTCTGTAATTCTGAAAGAATATTTAAACTTGGATGATATGTCTATGTTGTATGCATGCAGAAACCACCTGAATGGCACCAGAGTGCAGCTCTGAGCTACCCTGCTTATGTCCCTTTCAGAGCTGCAGTTGCCTCTGCATTGCCTTCTTGTCATGCTGGCACATAAACTAATTTTGGACCAGGCACCTAGTCTAGATATTTCTGTAATGGAGCTGCAAATGGAAAACTGGGTCAATAATGGTTCCATGAGATGCAATATTTGCTTCAGAATACGTACATTATGCTACAAAATATGTCAATAATGTGTTTCATGTATTTACTTAACACTACATTTTTAATATTTTTTATGTTTTTCCCTCTTCTCAATATTTGTTGGTGTCTCAGGTGGGTGGGAATTATGGAGTATACACAGCCTTCCACTGTCCTCTTTCTCATCACCTGTGTATGTTACAAGACACCTCAGAAGAACTGGGAAATAATGGAGTACCTCATATCCTCTCACTATACATTCAACCAGCAGCTCTTGAAAGAGAAATCAGGTATTGCAGACCATGTTTTTCTGGTGCACAACCAAGGACTGATGACTTCCAAATAACTCACATCAGTTCATGTTATCATACCCTCAGGCAGACAGATCTGTAAGGTCAAACCAACTCAGACTTTTCTGAAGAGTATCTCAATGGGACCAGCTGGTTTTTGTGATGCAGCTTGCAGAAGACACACAGTTTTGCCTGTTTCAACGCTCTATTTAACAAACACATGCATTTTGCATATTTCTTGGTAGTGGTTACACTTTTTATTTGTACTCAAATTTTATCCCAATTATCTCACAGCAAGCAAAATGAGTGAGTATACTCATGTGGATCTCTCAAGCAATTGTTCCGTGGTTTTGGCAATTTCTGAGGTTAAGGATATCTAATTGATAACAATGAGTTGTATAGCAGACATACTGCATAGAAAATTAGTTCTGAGCATGTTAAGAATATTGGTTAAGCTGAGCTGTCAAATAAACATCCTGTTTATAAACTCAATTGTTAAATAAACTCAGTCTGCTAAAATACAGACTACAAGAGATCTCAGTAAGTGATGGATGAAAAGTCATACACAATTTAAAAAATGACTGGCATATGAATTTAAATTAAACTTCATTTGGAGAGGTAATGGACAACTCTAATTAAATAAAAGCACAAATTAGGCAGTTTCCATGGAGACTTTGCTCACATGATCTGCCTATATTGTATAACTCATATGCTTGTCCTCTAATGTGGCTGCACAGGAATCAGTTATAAGTAATGAAAGTTGTAACAAAAATATTCGGAAGGTCCTTTACATTCTTGTAATTAAGTAGGAGATCTTACTGCTAACTTCAAAATAAAGAAGATAATTTAATAGTTTTGAAAAAGATATTAATTGATTCCAGAGGTCTATCATGCACATATATTCAGAAACACATACAGAATGAATGCATAACATTATTTTCCCTTGCAAAAAATCAGCATCATAAAATAAATCTGCCCAAAACTAGACTAAGATGCTATGAGCAGGCTGATTAAGACTAAATATTTGTGGGTGTGAAGTGTTTGAGGGAAAAGAAAAAAAGAGAAAAAAGAAAAAAAAAGAGAAAACGTATTTTCCAAAATTAAAGGGAAAGGTCATGCAATGAGATCCGTAAGTCAGATTCTGACTTTGCTGCAAGCATTTCTGTGCAAATTTGGACAATCCACTTAATCTCTTTCTGTCTCAATTTCCCATTAGAATTAGGATTAAAATTAATTTTTTTTTGTAGCTGTACTACATTTGTTAATGTCAGTGTGCAGGTTGTCTAGAAAAACCTACAGAGAGCCCAAAGAGATAAAATGTCCTTCCTGCAGCAAAGTTATATTCTGTTATAAATAGGGTCAATTGCAGATATTTCAAAGGAATTTAGAATTCCCTTTTCATTTCCTTAGGTTTATGAATCTCTTTGAGGGGTATGAGTAGGTCTTATTGATTAGTTTACATCCTAATTATGAGGACTTCCTATTTATTTCTATTTTATCACTATACATACATTACTATTTCATTATTTCTATTGTCTTTTCAAAAGGCTTTTGTCATTTCAGCTATTGAAAAGATTCAATTTTTGTGTTCTGCACTTATGAAGCATAAATTAATCTAGAGTCTTGGTGACTTGCAGTTTTACACAGATTATCTTTGTATGAGATTAAACTGTACTCCAAACTCATATTATTCCTTCATCAAGAGACATACATGGCCTTTGTTTCTTCAGTTTAAAATTTTCCTAGAAATTACCATATTTATTATTGACCATAAAAATGAAAAGCATGTCCTTCATTCATGAACACACAGCATTCATGAACACTTCATATCTCATAGTAAAGGAGTCAGGCAGACTATCACAGCATTCTGGCTCATGCTGAAATGCAAGTGTCAGAAATGAGTGCATTCATCTCATGTCATTCACCTTCTCTGTCTCATAGACATACAGGGCCTCAGTTTGCCCTTTGCTACCTACTGGTGGAACATTCTACACCAGTGAGCATAGAGAAAGTCATGTTCTTAGTATGGAATGCTTCAATGGGTAATGAATTTACAAACAAAGAGATTATGAAAATTGGATGATATACAATAGAAGTTTTTTAACTATGTATGGAACACAGTTCACACACAAGGGACACTTATCAATATACAAACTGCTGCATCACAAACAGGTCTAAGTAGAAAACAAGACTCTTACTCTGAACCTGAAACTAAAACATAGCAGGAAATGTCTTCACTTCAAAAGGGCTCAAAAACATTGACAAAAAATGAAAGGCTCTAAAAATGCAGAGAAATTTGCTTCTTTGAAAGCTCAATGTAGAGTAAAATGATGCTGTGATCTGCATAAGTAGGAGAGCAAGAACTATCGCTTACATGTAGTATCTCATTTTCCTTTTTAAATATGTGATGTATCTGTCATTCATTCCAGTTCAACACAGCAGAGATGACACTCAAAACTGTGATAGGAACTTGTCACAGCTGAAGTTCTCCAGACTTAAGCTTGGAAACGTCAGGAAATCTTGCTGAGTTGGAACCAGCCTGACACATCCAGACGGCTCATTCAACCCTGAAGCTACTGCATGAACAGTGGGAAATGACACAGACCAGTGCCCAAGATCAAGATGGCATGACACAGCTTTTGTCCCCAGTACAGGCTGGATGTCTGTCAGGAGTGTGGCCCGGCTTTTGCTACTCCATACCCTGCTAAGGAGATGTTCTCTAGGGAAGGACTTAGCATGGGCCAAATCTGGTCAAGGGTATGTGCTGTGACAGGGATGAATAATCACTTTGCTCACCCTTCAAATTTTGTCATTTCATCTTTAACTTCTGTCTACTCTCTGATCCTGATCTATCAGTTCAAATTCTCTTTCTTCACCTGCAAAGTCTTGCCTCTTTGCTGGACCTCATTTTTCATGCATTCATTCTACCCTTAATAAGCAGGCAAGTTGTTTCCATCTCCTAATTGTACTTCTTTTATAACCTATCCATCCACTTCTTCTATATAACCTATCCATCCACCAAACAGGCCCCAGTGTCAGTGGACTTGTTGCTCACATACTTTAAAAGATTCATCTCAGCAAGACTTATAATCAATTAACTGCCTTCTCCCTCACAATATAAGAGAAAGACTGAACTAGAACTGATACTGAACTTCTTAGTTCATAGGATTTTGATTTATTTATTATTGGCCTGCTCTGGACCTCACATCAATTCTTTTCACTGTGTGCTTTTCTTTCAGCCTGCAAGCTCCCTATGGCAGTTGGGTTGTTTTTTTTTTTTTGTTTTTTTTTTTTTTTTAATTTCTATATAGTGCCTGGTATTAGAAGTCTGGCAACAAGTGAGAGAAAACACAGTGTCTGAATTAAACTGCAGCTGGAATTTCATTCAATCACATAATGACAGAATGTGTCCAGAGGATGAATATGAGACACTCACCACATCACCACATCACTCCATAATCTGAGAAAACAAAATCACCTCTCCCAGACTAGGGAAACTTGAAGATCTAGAAGAGAAATCTCCTGTACCTCAAGTCCTGCTATGAAATCAAAGCATTTCTTGCAGGTGGCCTTTCACCCTGGCCAAAGACATCCCCAGACTGCTCAGTGTATGTCATGAGAACAGAGAACTGACAGCTAGTCCTAACCTCAGGGAAACTGCCAAAAGTTTCCATGCCTGGGAGATGTTTTGGACTCCTCACCCCTCCTGACAGCTAATGGGATTGATTTGGACCTTCCCCAAGAGGCCAAAAAAACTTCTAGAAAACTTTTTCCTTTCCTCACCCAATCCTCCAGAGGTTATATCCAATCTTTACCACATCTATAAAGCAAACTAGGCATGATTAAGGCTCCTCCTCTGGCTATGAGGCCAACTGGCATGCTCTAGCCATATCT